TCCACTCTTTAAATTTCAACATACAAATGCGTATGTATAGACACAACACCACCCATATACATACATATGTCAAATCTCATACTGTCCCCATATGTTTATATATGTATGAGTCCCGGTGGACAAGCAAGTGTGTATGTGTATCTGCGTACCTCATCGGGTGTACGGACATGCATCTATGTTTGCGTTAGCAGGAGTGACATCACGACGACGATTCCCCCCCACTCCCATAATAACACCAATACACGCAATCTACATAAACCCAAAATTTTAAAAAATTAATCAGTTTGTCTGACGATCGCTAAAGCGTGAAACCCAGGGTCACAAACTCACATCAATCCAACCAAAATATATATATATATATATATATATATATATATATATATATATATATATATTAGTAGTAGTAGTAGTAGTAGTAGTAGTAGTAGTAATCCTATAGGTATAAAAAAAACTACACTCGTTCGAAAGCCTTCGGTGTCTTGATTTGCAAATAATCAAGCCAATACCAAAGAGGAAAAAGGTATTAAAAAAAGGAAAGAACCAAGAATATGTATATATATAATCTTGGGAAATCCGGTTGAGCTCTCTGGTAAAAGGATAATTTTTAAAACAGTGGCTGCTACTACTATTAAAGCATTGCTCTTCAACTATGAATTAAGCTCTCTTGACCACATAGAAAACGTTAAAATTTCCCTTTCTCTCCGCCGTGCAACGATATCCTAGGGGTAGAATCTCTGACTTATGCCAAATCGATCGGGTTGAGATCCCGGCTTGAAGCAATCGAACGCCACAATGAAGAGCTGTGACACAGCGAAACAGTCTGTCTGTGGATGACTCTCTCTCTCTCTCTCTCTATATATATATATATATATATATATATATATACATACATATATATATATATATATATATATATATATATATATATCTGAATTCGTTTTACTAGTTTTATAAAAAGTGTAAAAGTTTCTGTGATGCATTTCATCCTTTAGGGGTTAATTGGACTAAATTTGTTACGTTGATGCGACTACACAGGCACACGAACGAGGGATGCTGGGAATTTAATTTTTTTTTTTTTTTTGTATATATAATCTTGCCGATTTCATTTAGATTCTGCATCTTTGCTTTTATATCTCTTTGTTATTCGATATCTCACACTGTGTTACTAGAAGATCTGCCAGGAATGGTACGAAGTTCTAAGAGCCGGGAGCAAATTTACTAAGTCGAAAACGTTTCGTGAGTACCTTGATCGCAAGGTCATCCACAGTAAATTTGCATCCTGGTTCTTACAACATTTCACCATTGCTGGTCGATTTATTATCACAGTGTTGTTAACACAAACGTGAAGGAAACAAAAATAATAAATGAAATGTGGTAGATTATATACGAATAACAAAATTAATTTAGAATTCCCAGTATCCCTCGTTCGTGCACTTATATAGTCTCATCAACTTATCAAATTTAGACGGATAAGATTTCTATCTTAATTCCTGTGCAGGTGAGGTTCATACAAAGGTGAGAGATGTGTGTCAAATATAAAACAGTAGCTCCATTTGCACTAAGGGTCACAGGTTCGATTCTTGTTAAAGAGCACAAAAATCTCAACCACTGATGAACAAGTTGATGTCATTGACCATATGGTTTTGGATGACAGACGTCTTACTGTTCAACAGATAGCTAAGTCTATTGGCATTACTTCTGGTTAAGTCTCTGCTGTTTTTACTAAGCCTCGATTTCTATCTTTTCCTGTCATCCGTACTGGGCTAAACAGTAGCTCCCTCTGCCCTAAGGCTCACAGGTTCGTTTCCTACCAAAGAGCACAAACATCTCAACCACTGATGAACAAGTTGATGCCATTCTCCATATGGTTTGAGAAGACAGACGCCTTCCTTTCCATCAGAATTCTAAATCCATAGACATTAGTTCTGGTTCACTCCATACTATTTTAACTGAGGTCTTAGAGATGAGTAAGCTGTCTGCAAGATAGGTCCCAAGAATGCTGACACCAGAGCAGAAGCCGAAAGCATTGGCATTTCCAGGAAAATTCTGACTTGTTCCATGCTGACCCTGAGAATTTCCAACGCTGAACTCAAGATGAAACTTGAAATCACCACTTCGAGTCAGAATCAAAGATTCAGAGCAAAGAGTAGGAAATACACTAGTTCTCCACTCTTAAAGAAGGCAGCGTCTTGATTTTGGTAATTCCAAATGCATAATCATGGAAATCCTGGAAAAAGGAAAAACTATTACTTGACAGTACGATGCACCAGAATTAAGAAAACTGAAGGAAGCAATAAAGTTGAAATGCAATTGGATGCTGAGGGCAGGTGTGGGCTTGCTCCAGGATAACGCACCCGTTCATTGCAGTAGCTAAACTGTGGCTTTGAATTGCTTTCTGATCCCCCTTACTCACCAGACTTAGCTCCATCTGACTTCTTTCTTTTTCCTAAACTCAAATCACACCTGGTGATCGTCATTAAGGTCATATGTGTTGTGGTAGAGTTTTGGGGGATACCAAGATGCCAGTGATGGGATTAAAATGCTTAAGCATCATTGAACCAAGTACATTGATTTCAAGGGGGGGCTGTAAGATAGTGAAAAACTGTCTTTTTCCAACAGATCTGATGAAGCCTATTCGGCAAAAAGCATAGTCGGATGTTTTTTTGAAACATTATATTTTCATGAACGTTTTTGTTACCAATTTATAACTGTGTCGGGATCATATCCCCAAATTTATAACATGCTGTCGACACGGAAAACGCTTAGATAAAAAGAAAGCAAATCTTTTATTTAATTTCTACCCATTCTAAAAGATTTCTATCTCTAAACTCGAACACTTAAAGCAAAGATCGTAAAATGCAAACGACTTCTTTAAAAGTCACTCATTTTCTTTCTCTTTTTTAGTCTCGATCAACGACAGCCCGGGAAAAATATAAGATTTCATTATTTTAAACACACACAAATATATACACACGCAATTTGTTCGCCTTTGATATGATGAAGCCTAATTGTCGGTTGTGTTTTCGAAACATACTTTCGTGAACGCTTTTCCAATTGTCAATAATTTATAACTCTGTCGGCATCATATACCCAAATTCATAACACACACACAATTCATTTCTCTTGTTTAATAAACTAGGATTATTTAAATGTTTTAAGATAACTAATTTTTCAACAAGACATAATTTATATCTATTGCCTTTCCTGTTGTAAGATTTGGCTCTTGCTACAATATCCCACGTGATCATTGATGCATTAACACCATTCTTTAATTGCAAGAAATATTTAGAGAGAGTAGGGCTGTGTTTGTATTTTATAGTGCTTAAAGTCATTAGATGATGTTAGAAATTGAATTCACAACGATATGTGTGTGTGTGTGTGTGTGTGTGTGTGTGTGTGTGTGTGTGTGTGTGTGTGTGATTTAATAGGCCGGTTAATAAAATTTGCTGAATAAAAAGTCAACAAAATGATATCAATATTGATGATATTTATTATATATTAACGTTTTGACTAAATTGACGAAAAGAAAGAATTTAAAGTCAGAATTTGCGGACATGCCTGTGTACTTTTGCACCAAAATGAGGAATAAACAAAGACGTGGCACTCACTCGTCCGGGGAATGTTGTTGTTGCTGGTTAGAGGGTTTCATGTCAGTAAATCCCTGTTTAATTCTTGAATGTGTGATTTTATTTTAAAAATATATTTCAACTCCGATCTGCGTCTTTCTTGTCGGCTGTTGAATGAATACTCTAAAAGCGCGCATCTGATGTCAACAATCTTATAGAACTGAAATTCCCACTTTAAAATATTCCTCTTCATGCTTCATTTTAATCAAAAGGCAAATATATAATAAATATAATCAATCTTATTGGCAATAATGTTATTATTTTGTTGGCTTTTTTTTCCTCAAATTTCATTAACTGGCCTATTAAAACTACACACACACACACACACACACACACACACACATACATCTTGGGAAATTTTGTTTCTACCATCATTGAATGACTTTTGGCAATATAAAATACAGTATCGGCACTACTCTCCCTAAATATTTCTGGCAATTAAAGAATGGTGCTAATACGCCTTCTACACCTGGAATATTGTAGCAAGAGCCAAATCTTTGAATTATATATAAGTAGGCCTTTTAACTAAATGGAACCACGAAGTCAAAAGGCCTACTAATATATAAGAAGTCAAAAGGTCTACTAATATATAAGAAGTCATAAGGCCTACTAATATATAAGAAGTCAAAAGGCCTACTAATATATAAGAAGTCATAAGGCCTACTAATATATAAGAAGTCAAAAGGCCTACTAATATATAAGAAGTCATAAGGCCTACTAATATATAAGAAGTCAAAAGGCCTACTAATATATAAGAAGTCAAAAGGCCTACTAATATATAAGAAGTCAAAAGGCCTACTAATATATAAGAAGTCAAAGGCCTACTAATATATAAGAAGTCAAAAGGCCTACTAATATATAAGAAGTCATAAGGCCTACTAATATATAAGAAGTCAAAAGGCCTACTAATATATAAGAAGTCAAAAGGCCTACTAATATATAAGAAGTCATAAGGCCTACTAATATATAAGAAGTCAAAAGGCCTACTAATATATAAGAAGTCAAAAGGCCTACTAATATATAAGAAGTCATAAGGCCTACTAATATATAAGAAGTCAAAAGGCCTACTAATATATAAGAAATATCATTAATCTTATTGCCGGTATTGTTATCATTTTGTTGGCTTTTTATTCCTCATCATCATTCGTTTTAATTACACACACACACACACACATATATATATATATATATATATATATATGTATGCGTATATCTGTATTATTTCTCTAGTCACCCAACTCCAGGTTGGTCTTGCGGACTGCTGTTGGTACAGAAGAACGTTCATATATCGAGGCTTGCTGTTCGCATTAGTAGCACGATTGTATCCATCACCAGCTTGCTAGGTCTATAGCGCAGTTCACAGTTTTTTTTCCGCCAGTGGTTACCCATCTGAGTACTGACCAGGCTCAACATTACTTAATTTCTGTGATCGAACGAGAACCGGTATTCCAACGTGATATGGAAGTACACTACAGGAATATTGCTTTTTGTCACTTTGTTGATATATCGAAGACGATTTCATTCAATATGTCGCTACTATTTAGGTTATCAATATTTGTTGAACGAGAATTCGACTCTCAGAAAAGAACGAGTCTTTTTTTTGTTGGAGTCTTTTTGGCGTCACTCGTAAAATGCCCGTGAAAGAACGCGTCAAATGATCGCGTGTGTCGTTCTCGAAGGACGGAATTGAAAACGTGGGGAGGAATTTTGACTTGATTTCTTTTCTTTTTTTTATCTTTTTTATTAAATCCGTCTTTATTTATCTGACGTTCCATCTTTCATCTTCCGTTGCAATGATCCACTGACATTACAGCTTATGTTGTCGCCTGATCATGGCCAATAGCAACCCGGGGCCTTGTACTATGCAGAATAAAAAGAAATCGACACACGAATCTATCTGATGTTTTTCTTAGAGATATCAAGTCATTTCATTCATGTTTACTCAAAAGTTGACAGATCTTAAATAGTTTCTTATTATTCTCAATATGGCGGCACACACGCATGCGCGTGCAAACAGACAGACATAGTGAATATTTAGTGAGCAAGAATTCAGTAAAAATAAGTTTCACTAAATTCGACCACAACGACTTTTTTTAGTGTCTTACATGTTTATATATTAATTCAAAGTGCCTTAGTTTTATCAGTCAGTTATGTGTCATGCGTGATACACGCTTAGGTGATCATGTATCTTTCGATACATGTCTGACGAGGCAGATTTTTTTCCCTCGCAGTAGGTTGCCATTTCTTTCTGTGGTAGACCAGTTGCCATCCAAGGCTATAGAACACGGTCTGTCCTGCTATTTACCCATATTTGGAGGGTGGAAAAGAGGATTCATACCTTTCCCAAGGGTATTAACACGTAAGTGAATGTAATGGATTCGACTGGAATTCGAACTCGGCTCTCCGATTCCTCAACCCGAGCCGTTATCCATTACTCCTTAGTTTTATAATAAATTCTTTTAATATCTTGTCAGATAATTATTTTTTTTTTTTTTTTTTTTTTGTAAAATCCTAAGAAGAATCGTCAATGTAATTGGTTCTTCAGTCACTTTCCCACCGCCGTAATGTAGTGTTCCTCTGCCTTTTCTATACATACTTTCATGGTAATTGCTTTAATGAACTTTCCTCTATGCTATCCTCTTTGGGTCCGTATTTGTGGCTAACTAACTTAGATAAGACAGATCGAAGACTAGCCTTCCCTAATCCATCCTCTTTTGGCCTTGTGTCACATTTTTATTTTCAAAATAAATATTACTTTCCTCAGTAGTAGCTAGATTTTCAGTGCAGTACTGGATTGGCGGCTAGGTCTCATTTTACGGTTGAAATGGCTAGATATAAACATATGTTAACAGTTTCTTCTTTCGGATTTCTCCCTTTCTTTCGGCTTTTTACTTTCCAGTCAACTTTGATCTTCGAAAATTTAAATGTAATGTCAACTGTTATCTTCAGTCTTCTTAATTTCTGTTCTTTTATTGTTCCCTCTCTTTAATAATGTTTTTTTTTTGTTGTTGAATATTCCCTAACACTAATTAACCTCCTGCGCCTTAGTGGCTTTATTGCCTTGCTTGTGATGTACTGAATAAAAAAAAAACACAACTAAAAATGAGGTGCAGTACAAAATTGACGTCAATGTCTCATCGTTTTACGGTTGAAAAGGGTAGATGTAACCGTAAGTTCTATGCTAACAGTTTCTTCTCATGCACTTCTCGCTTGTGGAAATCTCTTCCAGCTTCTTGCTTCCCAATCTAGTTTGATCTTCAAAAATTTAAATGCAATGTTGATCGTCATCTTCTGTCTTCTTATTTCCTTTTCTTTTATTTTTTTCTCTCGATAATAGTAGTTTTTGTTTTCTTTTTCATATTCCCTAACACTAATTAATCCCTTGCGCCTTAGTGGCTTTATTGCCTTGCTTGGAGTGAAATGATTAAAATAATTTGTTCATCCTATGAATGATTGAAGTTGCAGAGATGGCCAAGAAGATTGCATGATTTTACCAATTTCAAACAGAAAATACAAGAAACCCAGTTATTGAAGTAATTCTAAAATGCTATTGACTGGCTTGCACTTTTTCAAGTCATTCTTATTAGTCAAATACCTGACATCGTTTACAAACGATTATAATCAAACATGTTTGAGTATTTCTGTTGCATAGTATTTCTATATTGTATAATTAATATATGTCACAGGAAAAATTGTTTTAAGCAAAATAAATGTCATATTTTAAGCAAAATAAGTGACATGTGTTAAGCAAAATAAATGACATATTTTAAGCAAAATAAGTGACGTTTAATTGTTTAATAATAAAATAATTAATATGTAAATAAAATAAGTAAATTAAACTTTAATTAATATGAAGGAAATCGTTTTCTTAATTTAAATGAATAAAGGGTTTTGTTTTCTGATATTTTGTCTGTGTCATCTCGACTAAGTAATAATTAGAAGGATCAATTAAAGTTATTAACTTTGTTGATGTTGAAACTTGACTAATGCATGGAATAATAATGCAACACAAAATGTACTTAGAACAAAATGTATTGAAACAAGAAAGTGTACACAATATTTACATATAGTCTTTTGTATATTCCTGGTAAGACCGTTCCTGGGGAATGTGCTGACTGAGTCGCAGTCGGGCAGAGTCTCTGGTTGAATCTCTTGATTCCTCCCTCTCTTCCCGGTATCAACCATATTTATATGGTCGGTACTCCACCATGCAAATTAGGTGGATCCTACCACAACAGTTGAAAACATTCTAAGGGAAATGATTTATTAATAACATATTTGAATTCATTTTTTTAAGCATTTCACCTCAAGCAAGGCGGGAGTGCCACTAGTATACAAGGGACCACGGAGAGTATAAGCAAGGGAAATGACTGGGTATAGTGGGTGAGGAAAACTACATCCAATAGCAAGACTGAAGGTTTTGAGGAGCGTGGAACCACCTCTTATTTGCTGGTGTTCCTGGGTCCACCCTAACCTAGGGTGGTAGCACCTGTTAGGATCCCAGCTATGGGCAAATAATTAACTTCTTAACTGGGATCAAAAAAATAGGTTTTAATACTAGCAATACATTTTTTTTACCAGCAATGAAATTTTGAAGAAAAAACTATTACCAGCAATACGCTATTAGCAGCAATACATTTTTAAAAAAATATTACAAGTAATACATTTTTTTGAGAAAATTATTACCAACAATAACATTTTTGTCGGCATAAAATAACCCATTGAAGTTGATATGCCGTAAAACAAACCAAACCAAACCGACTCGACTCACGTTATTTGAACGATGAACGAAGACATTTTCATAACTTTCATCGGACAGAATTGAATTTCATCGTGCGAGTTTTCTTCTCATTAAACGTTTTTATGTTTTATAAACAGTAAAAGTCCGAATTTTTAAGTTAGAAATTAAGTTGAAATTTATAAAATCTTTCTTTTAAAAACCAAGCCTTTCTGTTAGATAGTTGAAGCTGCATACACACATACGCAGCTTCTCTGTTTAAAACATGTGTTTATTTATTAAAAGAATTATGAGACCGAATATGTGAGCAACAACGAAGTTGTACAGAAAATTGAAACAAAAAGGATATATATACTTGACATCAGGAAGAGACAGCGGAAATTTCTAGAGAACATAATGAGGAAAGAGGGCTTGGAAAATCTGATGCTCACAGGACAGATTGAAGGCAAAAAGAACAAAGAAAGACAACGTATAGCCTACTTAGTGAGTATCTGTCTATATTTCTGAGCTGAGGTATTGTAATTATTTACACTATTTTCAGTTTAGACTGCTATCCTCAACTTCGTTGCCATATTCACGACGTTTCGGCCGTTGTTGGTTCCAGCTTTCTTCAGGTGATTGGAAACATGGGGATAAAAGTGTTGGTTGAATCCAGTGACTTGACCCAAAGAGTTGTGAGTTCAATACCTGGATACGGCAGTGTTGAATAAAAACTTGGATAGTTTAGTTAAAGGGAGATAACTGATACCGAGGCATCCGGAAGAGGCATGGCACGTGGAACTAGAATACTCTACCCCGGTGTTCGAAATAAAAGATTCCGTTCGAAATTCCAATCATCTGAAGAAGGCCGGAGCGTACAATAGCTGAAACGTCGTGAATATGGCAACGAAGATGAGGATAACAGTCCAAACAATCTGAATAGAGTAAATAATATTTAGTGAGACTGGGTAAATGCATGGAGTACAGGATCTAGGAGAAATCACAAAAAGACACGATTTATTAACCCTAGAACACTAACCATCAATTAAAGTTACGCCATTACTAACCATGGGTATATCATACCCGATTTTGAAAATATCAAAAAAAATATTAAATATAAATCTTTATTTAAAATATTTCATGTGCAGGCACTTCAAACTTTGTACTTTGAGTTAACATTTATAGGAACTGAAAAACATTTTATTTAGGTAAGAAAATCAGGTACTGAAAATTGTAATTAAAAATAGGAAAATTTGCACTGGGTACTATATACCCATGGTTAGTGTTCTAGGCTTAAGAGCTACGAAGAACAGGAAATTGTGGAGATCTACGATCACCTACGTCCTTAAGGTATATAGCACATAAAAAAGAAGACTGAAGCTGTTGTTTTGCATATGGATTTCTCGTGATAAACAGTCAAAGCTATTATCAGGAATTGAAGCTTCTCTGGTGACATTCAAAGGTTAGATGGTGTTTTCCCTTCGGAAGTTCGACTTTGTAAGACAAAATGAAATTGATTATTTGTTGACCAATCCTGTCGATTGGCAGAATTTAAAACGATCGTGTTATTTTGAGAAAAAGGGTAAATGAAAAAAAAATGACTCCGCGTTTAGACTGCCATAAAAAGCCAAAAAAAAAAACAGAAAATGGGATACAATGAGTTACGAATTGGAACCGACAAAGAAAAAAAAGAGTAGAGGTCGGTTGTGTGTATGGATGTGTGGGTAAGGGTATTAATTCATCTG